TTTATTAACGAATTTATTAAAGAATTTATTAAAGAATTTATTAAAGAATTTATTAAAGAATTTATTAAAGAATTTATTAAAGAATTTATTAAAGAATTTATTAAAGAATTTATTAAAGAATTTATTAAAGAATTTATTAAAGAATTTATTAAAGAATTTATTAAAGAATTTATTAAAGAATTTATTAAAGAATTTATTAAAGAATTTATTAAAGAATTTATTAAAGAATTTATTAAAGAATTTATTAAAGAATTTATTAAAGAATTTATTAAAGAATTTATTAAAGAATTTATTAAAGAATTTATAAAAGAATTTAAAAAAGAATTTATAAAAGAATTTATGGCTTATGAAACAATATTGCTGATATGAGGCAAAAATAAGAAATTTTCATCAAATGTCACTCCGACGTCAGTAAAAATTTAAGGCCTTTGAAGTTTAGACTAGGTAATAAAGAGAGGACTCATAACGCCGCTGAAAATCTTGTTCCATTCTGACACCAACGATATTCGACCATGTTAGAAATAAAAAACTAACTTATATTTATGTTATTAGTATTTCATTGATCTTTTTAGATATAAAACAAGTTCAAAGCGTAAAATTAAAAATAAATAAGTAACAAAAAATAAGACACAGGAAAAAAAATATATTAAAATAAACCGAATGAAATCGTTTACATAATAAAATGAGTGTTTTTTTTTAAATTTCGCAAAATAAAACATAATGATCTACATGTATTACAGAAAGATTCATTTTTAGTTAATAAAGAATGACACTACCCAAATAGCACAGGCACGTTTTAAAGACATCTTAAATACGTTTGTTCACGGCGTTCGTGACGTTTTGAAGATCTACGCTAATATCCAAAAGATGTTTTAAAGGCGTCTTTAGGATATCCAATGTGTATCGGTTCATGAGTTATGCGACACACACACACACACACACACACACACACACACACACACACACACACACACACACACACACACACACACACACACACACACACACACACACACACACACACACACTCACACACACACACACACACACGCACACGCACACACACACACACACACACGCACACGCGCGCACACGCGCGCACACACACACACACACAGATATCATCGCGAAAATAGTCAAAACGGATTCAGGGGACCTCAAAACGTAAAAATCCGTCGAAAACTCGAGGTCGAAAAAATCATGATTCCTATACTTTCCTTATATCTGTATACAGATAGGAAAGTAAAAAGGCAATATATGAAAACACACAACCACGAAAAAGTAATGACAATGTCCACAGACTGACGCTAAAAATATTATACAATGATTGTCCCGAGAAGAAGGCAGCTAGAGGAAGAAGACGACTCGATATGCATGCGCGAGACTATCGAAGTAGCCAATGAAAATTAGGAATGACGATCATACATGCGCTGCAGGCACTACATTCAAATTTAGCGAAAAGACTAAAATGAGTTGAACGTCCACCTACAACAAAGGCGATTTAAACATGTCCTAAGCAGGGCATCTTAAAACCATCCGTTTTACGTATCAGGACGTTTGGACGAAAATAAGACATGAACTGGACGTCTTTAAGATGTAGTGTGTGCTAGCTGGGTATTATTAAATTAAGCTAGTAAGAAAAATTATACATAAATGAAGATAAATTTATTACTGACCCTTAATACTAATTTGTTATAATAACAAGAAGTTTTAGGGAAACTACTCTTTTTTATATCTTTTAAGTTTTTGTTTAAGAACTTTGATTTGTCTTGTTTTATTCTTTATTCTTTTCTACCTATTGTAAAAGTTGTCTTTTAAGCCGTTTTATGCAAGGGCTTTCTAGGATAGATTCCTTATTTGAAGTTCTATTTAAAGAGCCTGGCTCAGCTTCCAAATGCAATGCTGTTCTTTCTAAGCCCTACAAACAATCAATTATTACGTTAATTTTTTGAATTATACACAAAAGGGTTGCCAAATTTTTTTTTTTTTTCGATTTATGGCCTAGTTGTATATACCTAATATGCCAGTCTCAAGTTTGTGTTTAAATTCTCAATCTTGTGTGTTCTGGGTAGCCTTTGTTAGCTAAAATCTTAAAAGTTCATAATATAATAGAAGACACGAGTGGATGAAGGGCCACTTTTTTAAATGGCGTTTTTCTATGAATGAAGGGGGCTTATGTACCTCAAATTCGTTTAAAATGTCCTCCGTGACAATATATCATCAAATATAGAAGTTGCCAGTGGATAAAGGACCCATGTACTAGGGAATAACTGCCAAACAATAAACTTCGGCTGCATGTATTTAGAGAATTCAGGAAATACAGTGGGAACTGCTCCATTTAGTAAACGTTTTTACAGTCCGTCCCATAAAAAAAATGTCTTTTAAAAGGTTTTGAATACAATCTATCATTTGGTGTAAGCATCCAATTTGCAATTTTCTTTGCCTGAATCCAAAGATTTTTTGTTGGATCCACAGGAAATCTGAAATAAAAGAAAAAATACCCATTGCTGTGAATAAATAAAAAGAAAAAGTAAATTAGAATTTAATAAAAGTTAATATTTAGAATTGTACGACACGCCACTGGAAAAAATAACATGTTTGGCCATTTTATTATCATTAATTGCCTAAATATCAATGAAAAGCATAAAATAAATAAACTTGGTGGGTAAAATTTATTACTCTGGAGTGAGACATGTAAATACCAAATTGTATAACACCAAATAAAATGAAAAATATAAGGAAATTATATAAAGTGAAAACGATTGATGTTTATCATTTACCTGTGGAACGTAATATCTGCTTCTTTCTTGCGCTATAACTTTATGAAAAAATTTTATGAAAAAATTTTATGAAAAAATTTACTGAAAAAATTTTGTAAAATTATTTTATGAAATTATCATATGAAATAATTGTATAAAAGAGTTTTTTGAAATGATCATATGAAATAATTTTATAAAATCATTTTATGAAAGAAGCTTATAAGATAATTTTATAAAAAAATGTTGTAAAATTAAAAAATTTTATAAAAGAATTTTATGAAAAAAATTTTAGGATGGAATTTTATGAAAGATTTTTATGAAAGAATTTTATGAAAGAATTGTATGCAAAAATTTTATGAAAAAGTTTAATGCAAAAATATATTGAAAGAATTTTGTGAAATAATTTTATGAAAGAATTTTATGAAATAAACTTAAATTCAAAATTGCCGTAAGGTAGTTTTTAAAAAATAATTTATTTTAAATAAAAACTATGTTACAAAATAAAGGTGTTTAATCAACCAAATCGGATTCTAGACTAACGTAATTAAAATGAAATAAAACAATATGTTATAAAACTGCAAAATGTGAATGAACTATAAAATATCTATTGAGCAAACTGATGGGAAGCAAAGGTTAATATTCTTGGCGGCTTCTTGACATTGTACACTATAACTTATATGAAATAATTTTATAAAATAATTTTTTGAAATAATTTTACGAAAGAATTTTATGAAAAATTTTTTTTATAAAAAATTAGGAAGAAAATTTTATAGAAGAATTTTAAGTAAGAATTATATGAAAGAATTTTATGAACGACTTATAAAAGAAACAATTTCATAAACAAATTTTGTGAAATATTTTTATCAAATTTTTTTATGGAATAATTAAACATGAAAGTTTATTGAAAGAATTTTATGAAATAATTTTATGAAATAATTTTATGAAATAATTTTATGAAATAATTTTATAAAATAATTTTATGAAAGAATTTTATGAAAGAATTTTATGAAAAAAAATTTAAAAGAATTTTATGAGAGAATTTTATGAAATAATTTTACAAAAGAATTTTACGAAATATATTACAAAAGAATTTTATAAAAAAAAAATGTTATTAAAGAATTTTAGGAAACAATTTAAAGAAATAATTTTATTAAAGTAGATATAAATATAATTTAGAACTCACAACCTTACAATTGGAGTAATTTAAATTTTTTATAAAAATACTAGTATTAAAAAAAAATACAATAAAATAAATTAAAAATATAAAAAATTACAGTGGCATCCATTTACTAATATAAATTCAAAATATCTACGTCATAATAATATACATACACTGATAAAATGTCCAAATAAATAATAATTAAATACATGACCGAAAAATGCATTATTAGAAAAAAAATATATTTTAGCAAACTGTAGCCTATTCACAAACATAATAATAATATATCTTTTTTTAATGTAGTTGAAAATAATTCACTTATTAAATGTTTTAAGTTGCAACAAATAATTCTATTAGATATTTAAAAAAATTATATAACTCAAATATAGCGTTGTATATAAAAAAAATTAACCATTTTGACTAAGCATCGGTAATATAGAAAGGTTGTAATACGATGTTACTTCTCAACAGATATATATGTGTAATAGACACATCAGAATATACAGTACAATTTGGCTATAATTAAAGTTATTATAACTAGGAGAAGAATTGGGTACAAGGGCAGCTTCCGACCAAATTTTTGGAGTAGGCTATTTGCATTGGCAATTCCCTTTTTGGCATATTTGTTTAATAAAAGGCTCATGGATTGTAAGAATTATAATCTCGGGGAGGGGGGAGGCATTGCTCTCTCCCTGGAACCATCCTTGGTTGACCATCAATTAAGAACATCAGGTATTTAAAAATTAAACTTTCTTTATGTTATTTTTTATTACAAATTACATACATTCAACGGTTTTTACGCATTTAATAAAAAAAACATTCAGTATCAAAGAATCAAAATAACATATCATGAATTTACTTAATACCATCATTTGAGCCGGTTGAACTGGTTTTTCCATTCAAAATATCTTGAATTTCCTCAAGAGATTTTCCCCTAGTTTCTATTACAAAGAATTTAATAAACAAACAGGAAATGAAACAACAAACTGCAAAGAAAAGGAAAATGCCTCCAATACCAACAGCTTTGATAGCAGAATTAAAAAATTGTGCAATTAAAAATCCAATGCCAAAATAAATTGATATTAATGCTGAAATTGTAGATATACTGATGGTACGCAACAGTTTAATGTTGAAATTTCGAGAGGATCTCCGAATCACCAACATTTTCAGCCATATTTTTTAATTTGTATTGGTAATTTTTCACTTTGAGGGAATATAAGGTTAACTGCCTCTCACATCTTTCTTGCGTGCGGTCGCAAAACAGACAAGTGACTTTGCTTGATGTCGATGCTGTTGATGTTGACGGCTCCTGAAACAATTTAAATTATGTTTGCAAAAAAAAATAATATAGAGCATAAATAATCAATTGATGGAAATCGGACTTTTTAATTTAAAAAGTTAAAAAATCTATATTTGTGGTCTGAAAATAATTACTAGAACGAATTTTGAAACATATTTTTTTTATGTTAAAATACACCAAAAAATATGAGTCAAAAAGTAATTTAAATTTTGTACAGAATAAATGAAATAAAAAAATTGGTCGTCGGTAATAAAAGAAATAGTTATATTTACATTAAAGATATCACTAAAAAACTTAAACTTAAAGTACTAAATCAATTTTCACAATGAAACTATTGTTCTTATATGAAAATACTGACGAAAAAAAATACAAGTAAATTTTTTTTTTTGCTTGGGCACTTGCCATTCAGCCAGTCGCGAAATATATAAGTTTAAATTGCATTATCACTCTAAATACATACATTCAATCATACACACGTTTGTCCTAAGCAAGAAAAGAAGAAAAATATATAAAAAAAGATAAGGCAAGCAAGGAATAAACAAAGGAAAACATTTCTTCTTGTCTAGGGGCCCGTCAAGACATTTTTTTTACACACAAAACTAGGCCACGGAAAGGTAGGTATATAACAATTGGGTTAGAACATAGGTTGCAAGACTAATATTAATTGCAAGCATACTTTACTTTCATACACAAATTTTATCAAGAGGTAGTAACTTTTTTTTGATTAAGTGAGAGGAGATGTCAAATGTTAAATGGAGGAAATACATTATTTTTAATTAGATCTTGTATCAGATCTTGAGATTGTTGGGTATAGTTTGCACAACTAAAGAAAATATGATTTAGATCGCCTTTCTCTTGACACATGGTACATATCTCCGAATCTATAACATGGATTTTGAATAAATGTGCTGGATAACATGCATGTTATATAAAAAATTCACTCTATATATTATTTAATAGTAAATTCTCTAGAGTTAAATAATGCTTAGTTGCAATTCCTAGAATGGTTATCATTGACCTCTAGGATTGTATTCAGCCAAGTTGCATTTTCTTGTAAATGCAACACTTTTGTCATATTACACCTTTTAGATATTTCTTTTGTTTTACCTATGTTATAAATAGGGGTGACACATTAAAAGTCAGTTAGTTATAACAACTCACCTACTACAAACACATTATACCTTTTAAGTAATAAAATATTTTTTAAAAAACTAATAGTGTTATTCAAGATATAACAGTGGCGCAGTCAGTAGGATTCCTCAACACATTTAGAACACGGGTATCCTAACTAAGTGTGGTGGTTTCCTAACCTTTAAGGAAGAACAACGCTCAAAGAAACAACATTTCAACTACTGTGGACGGTCTCTCCGGCATCAGGAACACGCAATTGGCCCACCTGGTGTAGCAACGCTCACGGAACCTGATTTCATCTAAGTAGACGGAAATGAAAACATCATTCACGTGAGAATCTCTCTTTTGTTTTAATATTTTTTGTGAAACAACATTTTTACGTTCTATTATCATATTTTTGTGAATATTTTTCTAACAATTTAAAATGCCTGAAACACGTCAATCCGCAGCAAATAATAACCCTCAAGATCCAATTCCTTCTGTTGAAATGTACAAACTTTCAGAAATATTTTCAATAGTACCGGAATTTGATGGAAATCAAATTTTCTTAAATAATTTCATAAGTGCTTGCAAAACTGCTATTCGTATGTGCATAAATGATCAAAAAAAGCTTCTAATTCTTCATATAAAAAATAAATTAAAAGGTAGAGCCTCTGAATTAATTAATTCACGAGATCCTAATTCATGGGATGATATAAAAGATTTGCTAGAAACACATTTTTCAGATACGCGCGATTTAAATTCACTTATTCAAGATTTGCAAAGAATGCGTCAGCTTTCAAACGAAACTCCATTTACTTTTATTGCGCGTTTACAAACGCATGAAGCCAAAATGCATTCTGCAATTGGTAAACAGTCTTTAACCGTAGAACAGAAAACCGCACAAGCTCGTCTTGTGGAATCATTAGTTTTAAATACTTTGCTAACAGGATTAGATCCTAAAATAGGACATATTGTCAGGGCAAGTAACCCTACAAATATAATTTCAGCCGCAACTAGAATAAAACGTGAACTTCAGTTAAGTTATTTTGAATTTCAAAAAATCCAAAAAAATGATGCCAATCAAGCTTCTAGTTCTAATGTTAATACACACAAACAAACTCCGCCTGTCAAACAATGTTCATTTTGTAAACGTATTGGCCATACAATTAATGAATGCCTTACTAGACAAAGACAAGCTCAAACTTTCAGAAACAATTCTGCACAGAATTTCCCGAGCTCTTCTGGCTCAAGCCAAACTCAACCTTTCCAAAATAATTCTTATAATGTACAACGAGGACAAGCGCCTCCAATTCAAAATCGTGAATCAGTTATTAAGCCTAATCCTAATGTAAATTATAGTAGACCATCCGTTACACAATTAAACCCGAATTTTAATCAAAACAATCAAAGAACCTTTCATACACAATCTAATTCGAATTTTAATCAAAACAATCAAAGAAACTTTCATACACAATTTAACCCGAATTTTAATCAAAATAACCGAAAAACCTTTCATATCAATTCTGACCAACCTCAAGAATATGTAGATGATTTTTTCTACGACGCATATGTTTTAAATAATGAAGAAACATTTAATAACTATTATACTGCTAATAGTTTAGAACCACTGGATGATTATTATACCGCTAATAATCACGACCAGGTTGAAGATTATTATACTGATAATAGTTCAAATTTTAAGGAATCCGCAAATTGCACAGATTTTACAAACTATTACGTTGATAATAGTTACTGTGAAAATTTTGACGAAAATAATCCCCTTTTCTCGAATGAATATAATTACAGAGATGATCAAAATTTGGATTTTCGGCTGAGTCCAATCAAAACGGACCCACCTATCCTGAATCAGAATCAAACATGTTCGAATCTGGAAACACAAATCCAAACTTCGAATTTAGACGATTTCAATCCGAACTCAAAAGTTCCAGAACAGATATTCCTATAAGTCCTGCTTTTACAGTTAATTCAAAAAATATGTTTTACATAAAAGATGCAACAAATGCTTTTAAAATATTGATCGATTCCGGCGCGGGTATATCCGTTTTTAAACCACATACTTGTTTAAACTATAAAAATAGATATCACGAAAATATTACTATCCAAGGCATAACAGATCAAAAAATAATAATGAACGAATCTGTACTTATTCCTTTCACGAAAAATGATCCACACAAAGTATACATCTGCGATTTAGATATCGAATTTGACGGATTACTAGGATCAGATTTTCTGGATCATTATAAATGCATTGTAGATATTAAAAACAGAGAACTCATAACTAATTTTAAAACATTGCCATTATTTAAAATTGAAAGCGATCAAACAGACACTTGCAAAAATAAAAATGAACATTTAAAAACAAACGATAATAAAATTATCATAGGTTCCCATGTAGAACAGATGTCTAAATTAAAATGTAATCCGAGAAACAGAGAAGCTTTATTGTTAAGACAAGAAACCGAGAAGTTCAAATTACCAAACGCGATAGTAAAAATAGATAAAAACGGCGTATTTTTCACCTCAGGTCATAATAATATAAATGCTATTCCTAAAACTGTCAACTCTACCAATTTTAAATTAGAATCATTTAATAATCTAAATAATTGCAATTTCAAAGAAACTAAAAAGTGTAACGACCGGAATTTCGAAATAAAAAATCAATTACCATTAGTTCATTTTAATAAGGAGAAAAAAGATTTAATCATGCAACGTTGCAATAATTTTTCTGACATATTTTGTTTAAAACCTAATCAACTATCAATTGACGGTGAAATTAAACATTCTATTCATACAAATAAAACCAAACCAATATATACAAAGTCTCATAGGTATCCACAGATACACAATCAAGAAGTCAAAGCTCAAATCAATAAAACACATGGTTTTACCCCATACGAGTTAGTTTTTGGCCATAACTCTAGTAGGCCACCCGAAAAATTATATGCTGAGCAAGAACCAATCACTAAATATATTCGACAATTATTGACCTATCGCATCTCGTACTACTATAAAATTGCTTGCACTAAAACAACTCTTAAAAGAAAGAAAATGGCAAAAATTCGTTTTGATAAACATATCCCTGGTATAATTTCAAACTACAAATTTAGAGACAAAATCTATGCGAAAGAAACTCAAATTAAAAACAAACTACAACATAATTTTAGTGACTTTTTGGAAATTTGTGAAATTCTTAAAAATAATTATGCAATCGTATTAAATTTGGATACAAAACAAAAATCAAGATTTAATTTTGATTTCTTAAAACCCTACTTTGAAAATAAATCTCTTTTCAGGATTCTATTGCTGATCGGAACAGCAGTTTCCCAATTCACGATCAACCCTATAAATAATACTGTAGGAGTCTACTACCATGACGAAACAAGAATAATTGTTACTAACGACGATTGGACACTATTGGTACATAAAAACATTTCGACACTTAAAAATATATTTGATTCAAATAATAAAATTTTAGAATTACTAAAAAATTCTATTCAACCTCGCGGTGACCACCCTGTTACTAGCTTTCATTTGGAAATTAAAAATCAACTTTCACTATTACTTCAAGTTTCAAAATCTATTAAAGACAAATTCAGTCAAATAACATTCGATATTAAACGTCAAAAGCGTGGTTTAATAAATGGTATTGGCACTATTTTTAAGTCAATAACTGGAAATCTTGACGCCTCTGATGGAGAGTACTATTCTAATTGCATTAATGAAATTAAAAGCGATCAAAACAAAATCGAAAATTTATTGAAAAAACAAATTTCCGTTACTCAATCAGTAATTAAAAGTTTTAATTCTAGTATAAGTCAAATTAAATTAAACGAAAATATTTTAAATAAGGATATTGTAAATATACGAAAGGCTGTCTACCAATCGGCAAACGAAATTAATTATCTCGAATCAAAATTGAAATTCTTTGAAATTTGCGAAAAACTTTTTGAAAGCTATGCGTTTCTTGAAAATATAATAACTGACATAGTGAATTCGGTAACATTTGCACGTTTAAAAATTTTGCATACTACAATAATCGAACCTGAAGAATTAATTTCATCCTTAAAAATAATTTCTCAAAACCTAGAACACAATAATTTACCATTGCCTATTACTCATTCAAAATTAGCTCAATATTTAGAAATAATTAAAATAGAAGCTTATCAAACCAATACAGACCTCGTTTTCGTTCTCAAAATACCCTTAATAGAGCAACATATTTTTACTCTCTTTCATTTATACCCCATTCCGATTTATGATAATAGAACAGGCCTTCATCATATTTTGAGTGTTTCACAAAGATATTTAGCGAGAGACGACGATGCCTTAACGTACATCCCCGTCAAGAATCTGCACCAGTGCAAACCTTTAGGACCTTTTAAAAAATTGTGCAGCGATCTATACTCGTTCCCAATAGATGACAACGCCATATGTGAGGCACGACTATTTCGGAACTATAAATCATTACCGGAAAATTGTGAAAACACTGTGTTTTACGGACAAGGCTACAATGTTCAAAAACTTTAGGAAAATACGTGGTTAGTGTTAATTGCCGAACCAGTGAAAGTAACAATAAACTGTGAAAATTCCAATCTAAAGACAATCTCAATTCTTAAGAACTCAATATTTACCTTGCAATCAGGTTGTTTCGCTTTTATCGGGGTAACAAAAGTGCAGACCGGTTCAAAAAAACTTTCTAATATCGTGTACGATCCCGAACCCGTGTCAATAGACTTTGAATGTTGTGATGATATTCCAAATCTGCCAATTCCCAATTTAAAACCACTACAATTGGCAAATCTTAACGTAGACGATTTAGCAGTCACCAAAAACCAATTGGACCAGTACTCAAAAGAAATTGACGACCTCATCAATAAACCCTTCGTGGAGAAAAACATTTCTTGGTTCACGTACTGTACCATTTGTTTCATTATAGGACTGGCAGTCCTATACCTGCTTTACCAGTTTTGGAAACATCGAAAACCAACAACTACAACACCACAAAACGACCCTCCGAAGAAAAGACCCAATTTATCTGAAGAGGACACCGTTAAAATAGACGAAACACAAAATATTGAACTTTTTTGATTACGTTAAAAATCTTTTAATTTTATTATTTTACTTCTTATTTTCTATAATCTTTGTCTTATTTAAATACTAACCTTATTTTTATATTTTTTTTTCTCTTTCAAAAATTGCTGTATAACATCAATTTTTTTTTGTAAAGGGGAGTTGTTATATAAAAAATTCACTCTATATATTATTTAATAGTAAATTCTCTAGAGTTAAATAATGCTTAGTTGCAATTCCTAGAATGGTTATCATTGACCTCTAGGATTGTATTCAGCCAAGTTGCATTTTCTTGTAAATGCAACACTTTTGTCATATTACACCTTTTAGATATTTCTTTTGTTTTACCTATGTTATAAATAGGGGTGACACATTAAAAGTCAGTTAGTTATAACAACTCACCTACTACAAACACATTATACCTTTTAAGTAATAAAATATTTTTTAAAAAACTAATAGTGTTATTCAAGATATAACATGCATGTCCAAATTTCAATCTAATGATAGTTGTGATATACTTTCAAGGAAGTGAATAGTTTTTAAACCAATGCACATTCGGAATTTTTGGTTGTATTTTTGAATATTGGGTTGTAGTGGTTTTGCAAAAGTCTTTCCAAGATTTTCTCCAATTTTTCATTTGACGTTGTTTCTCATTTGCAAAAGCATCCAAATTGCACAGCTGATAACTTGTCGGTGAGCCATTGGTAGTTGCGCTTTTAGCCAAAACATCTACATACTCATTGTGTTTGAGCCCTATATGTGCTTTAACCCATATTAATTGAACCGTTTTCGATGTATTATGGATTTCGAATAGTATCTTTTTAATGAGCAAAATATAAGCATTTGATGAATTGGAAGAAAGCTTTTGGCTTTGAATAGCAAGTAATACAGATACAAATAAAAATTGCTCAAAAAAAAAATAAAATATTTAATTACCTTGTCAAAATCCGCAGAAGTCTGATACATGTCATCAACATTATTTTCTGTACCCCCAGTAACTGTCGTACATGAAGTGACACTAGAATCCATATAAAAATAAATGGAGAAGGTTTGAATAAATGGCGGGACTTGTTTCCTTGTTGAAAGTTCTACCGTATGTTATGTTATGTTGAGAATGGGGTGTTAATACACTGCGACCTAAAAGATCAATTGTGCCCCCTTCTGTCGCCAAAGCTCTAAGAAAATGTCTCAATGCCTATAACTACTCTTTTAATCCTATTTTCTCAAAGAAGTGTAAGATTTGAAGTGGCTTTAAGTTAGGTAAATCTCCCTCTTCTATTGATATCCTCCCAGATATAGTGCCTTTGGATTCTGGAGTGCTACACATTCAGTTAGGATGTGAATGGAGGTTTAGTCCTCCTCCTCACAGAATCTGCACTCACTATCCTCTACTACTTTCAGTTTACTTTGGTGTCCTTTTAGTCGACAATGCCCGTTAAGGATCCCTGTTACAATACGTAGCCTGTTCTTGCTCAGGCAGATGCAGGCTTCCGATCTATTCTGGTTATATTTACCCAGAAGTATCTTGGCCTGTCTCAGCCCCAAGAGGTTGTTCTAATTATCAATTCTTTTACTGCCCAATTCTTTTTTAATTTCTCCTAATATTAAGTTACTACTGATACCGCAGAACAGCTCAGGTCCTACAAAGGGTGTTTGAGCCCCTTTCCTTGCAAGACTATCTGCAATCTCGTTACCCTGTACCCCGTTATGTCCCGGGAACCAAGTGAAAGTAACTCTATGTTTCTCGACTAGCTCATTCAATTGTTCTAGGCATCTCCAGACCATTTTTGAGCTGATTACGTAAGAGCTCAGCGCTTTGATGACTGCTTGACTATCGGACATGATGATAATCTCTTGTCTATGATAGTTTCTCTCGATGTTAAACTGGATACACTTCTCGATGGCGTGAATTTCCACCTGGAAGATACTTGGGTATTTTGCCAAGCTTTCGGAGTGCTTGGTTCTCGACCCATACACTGCTATTCCAGTTCCTTCTATGGTTTTGGAACCATCCGTATACCACTGAATAGCACGTCTTTCGGTTGCAAGCGCGATGGATTCTTAGCTCTATTCTTTCACAAAACTGTACTTCTTAAGCATTTCATCCTGGGATATTAGCTCTCGTAGTAGCTAAACTAGTTCTGTTACTCAAGGCTATAGCCCCGTAAGTGATGATTGGTCTCACTATTGCAGTATACATCCATCGCAGTAAGTTTGGGTTACATCCCCATCGCTTACCTGCAATCACGCGTATTCATTCCCAGCAATATTTCGCTCTTTAAAAACCGACAACCGGATTTCAAGTCAGATTTGTGGCAAACAACCTTATATCACCCTGTTCGGAAACACATATTATCTTTATTTTGTTATAAGTTTTGTTTATTAAACAGACGGGTGCAAATTATTAGTATCGACTTACCTGTTCATATCTGCCTACCCAATAGTTATGACTGGAAACAATAATCAACCTATCGTTTGCATATTCTATAGGCTTCATAATTTTGATTAGTATGTAATTTGTCTATTACACAAACAAGTGCAATGTTTAAAAAAAACATTTTTAAATTTTTAATTAATCATATCCTGGACTGAAATTTTTCAGTCAACCTATTCGCAATATATATCTTAACACACACCGAGAAAAATATCTTATACCCGTTAGTCGATATCAAATAACTTTTATTAGATATCTGGATACCATACGTGACAGCAAAAAGATCAACTTGTTATTATTAGTTTGATCTTGCTGAAATGATCGAATAACCGTTAGTCAATGATCGAATAACCGTTAGTCAATGGTCGAATAACCCTTAATCATTCTGCAATTGTGCAGTTTATTTTTTTCCCGTTTTGCCCATATACAGTAACATACTTACAGTTATTCGACAAAAACATACACATCGAATAACCACAAGTAAACGAATAAATAGCACCAACCTAGTAATAATGTTGTTTGGTCTTTATTTTCCAGTCCAAATCAGCACAAAATAATTAAAACGCAATCCAAGACAAAATCACCCACTTTTTTAAAAACTAAATAACTTTAATGAACAATATAAACACACTGCAAATCGTTGAGAATAAACAATTAAAAATGATGTTTTAATCGTGGTATTAATGGTCAATAAAATGATGCATATGCAACTAACAATACACGAAAGTAATATTGGTTGCCCAAATGTCAGTAAACGGCACGTTACGAAATGCCGTTTTATGAAACTCGTTTGTGTTGAGGGACCTCGCTCTGCTTGTCCCGCAAATTCGCCCATTACATAAAATAAGGCATTTTGCAACTGGTTTGGTAAATAGCTATTAAATATGGATATTGTTAATTTCAAATGAATTGTAATGGTTAAAAACCAAGAAATAATGTTGTTTATACTTACAAGCTATCGTAGTTCCAACTAAATTATTTAAATAACCGAATCTTATAATCATTTTATAAGATTTACTTTAAGGTTGTTTACTATAAATTGGTTCAATGAATGAATCTGAGATTTTTAGTAACCAGTTTAAGCAGTTATCCTTAAAATAATCAGAATTGATATGTATCTTAACCCATTGTGTATGACTTTCACCGAAAAAACGCTATCAACAAATTTTATTTTTATTTATATATATATATATATATATATATATATATATATATATATATATACATCATTCTATCATTTTGGCAACGATACATTGTGCTTTTCCCAACAATTTGGCGTCACAAGACGATGTGGCGTCCGTATATCGACGCCACTTTGTTTTTGCTTAATAAATTTTGATGAGAGTGCGATAGATATACCGTTTCTATCGCATTCGAACTGAAAGTGACTGCATATTGTTAGGTCAAAATACTACCTTCCTATCTCTGTTTGGTTTAGAGTAATTTTCACTTTTAATGTGTGCCAAAATGATGGTAGAATGAAAAATTTATATACAATTAGTTCAGCGTTTTTCCATATTGGCGCTACTGTAGATGTATATCCAGCTTTCAGTCTACTAACATTTTGGCATCGAAAACTTGGCAACGTTGTATACTGATATTTGAACGATGAAGTTCTAATTTCTCTTCTTAGTAATCTTTACCAAACAACATTTCGGCCTCAAAATATATATTTGTATATAAATAATATTACTTACTGTCATTATGGCGTCAAACTATTATTTAAATGAAATTAAAGTACACGTAATTTTATTCATCATTGCCATTCACCACTTAACAATTTAAACAAGATTGATGAAACATATAAGTTTTTGTAGAATGCTAGTTAGTTATGTTACAAGTGAATAAAGAAATTTTTTTTGATGTTTCTTTCTCTATTAAACAAATCTTTAGGGGGTGGGTGGCTCAAAGCTAGAGTTTGGGCTTGCGAATCCAAGAGTCCGCAGTTCGAATCTCACCGTCAACCGGGATTCTTTTACAAACTTTAATTATTTAAAAATAATTTTGATGTCCAGGTAGGATTCCCCACTCCGGCCATTCACTGTTGGGTTCTAATTAACAGTACTTTTCCTAAATTGGCGCTGGGAAACAGTAACAAAGCCTACACAAAACACACATAAATGAAAATCAAACACAAACTGAGACTGGCATATTAGGTGTATACACATAAGCATAAAAAAATATTAACGAGAAATTTTATTACAAGAAATTATTTGCGGTTTTTAAAGTAAATATCTAGTACATATCAGAGCAAGTAGTTTAAATCAATATTTTTGTTTTTATTTAGTAAGGTACTACAGTTAAATAGGATTTTTTATATTTGGACAAATTTATTAAAATAAAATTAAACTAATTATATTTTTTTTAAAGCTGAAAACATTAAACTAAACTATTTATTAGTAAAATATAAAAATTATTAAAATGGACAGAAAATGCAAATAATAATGAAAATTAAAAACACAACGAACCATACACCCTGTATTATTTTAAAAATTTTTTTTTAAAAAAATGCGCAACTAAAAATACCATTCGACGTGTCCTAACATTTTTCGGAACAGGCTCTAATTTATTTATTACCGAATTTTTTCCATTTGGCTGTTTCACAGTATATATCTTCTACTTCCAGTTTCTCGTCATTTTCAAGTAAATATTTTTTTATCTCAACCATTACTGAGGCCCTTCCTATGGGGCCTCAGTATTAAATTCGTGCAGACGAAAAAATTTTCGTACCATTTTTTTTAAACATTTTTACGTTTCCAAACATAGAGTCCGAAAATGTAAAAAAAAAATTTTCGTCTGGTCGTCTGCGCGTATGTATGCCAGCACTATAGCTCTAGAACGAAAGTTCTGATTGACTTTCTTAAATAATTGCTTCTAATTTAGAACCCGACTGATTCCTAACGTCTAACATTCCTAAGATTCCTAATATTCCATACATTGCAAATATTCTCCAACGACCTGTCAAACAACAGCTGCTGATTGTAAAGGTGAGATTTCTAAGGGGGGTTGCGCCTTCCCTAGTTGCAACCCTACTCCTTATTTAAAATTATAAAAATAATAGTAGTTGGGTGTCTAAAATATGAACTGTGATTGATTTAATTTTTTTGCAGTGTTATCACTACCTAGAATGGATATAAAATATATTCGTTTAGTTAAACGCAATGACATACTTTTTCGTTTTGTAGTCTGCGCGTAGATAAGCTAATATCCATGAGGGTGTAGAAAATTAGTAGTTTGTGCAACAAGAGTGAATATGGCCAATACACTTGAGTTGTATAGTATATTTTTTCTACGACCCACTAACGAAAATCGAAAAATAAAAAATCGAAAAATCAAAAAATCGAAAATCGAAAAAAATCAAAAATGGGCAATGAATGGTGACATTTCACATTTGGCATTACGTTTAACAACAATAAAATCTGTAAATTGTGTTTCATTTTTTAAATAATTGAACGCCCTAATTGAAAAGAGCCCAGAAATGTTGAGGGTAAAATTTTGACGTACCCCTTTAAGGATAACGGATGAAAACGGGTGCTTGTCGGGCTAATAAGATGTATTTCATGAAAATTAGTGATATACAAGACCTTGGATCAACTTTTTTAGTAAGCATCAGACGATAAAAGTCTATTTAATTAAGGTTTTTCTTCTTATATTACAATAAGGTATTTATTTCTTAAAGTCTTTAATAATGGGCATAATGAAAGCTTGTCCTGCTAATGAAATGCATTGCATGAAAATTAGTGATTTACAAGACTAATTAGCTTTTTTTAGTAAATTTTTCAAAAACCAAGACAAAAACAACTTGAAAATTTTTAATTACCGAAAAGTTTTAAAAAATATGTAAAAAATACATCAGTAGTCGTCCAACACTACTATTGTTTAACTATCAGAATGATAAATGCACTGCCCAACCCAAATAATTGGTATTAATAATTTATCAAAATAAAAAAAGATGTTGCCGCTTTTTTAAAACCATTTTAAATTTTTATACGTAGGTAGGCTTAAGCGACAGTGGGCGCAAATATTTTTACATGAACAGATCTAAGGGAGTAATGGGATAATATAATTTTACATGGACATATTTAAAAGGGACCGAAATTTTTAAAAAAATAGGCGAAGTAAGGAGTCCAAATATTTTACATGAGCAGGCTTAAGAGGTAAAGGGGCCAATTATTATTGGGTAAATTGCTCGAACAAGTTTGTAAATTCTAATCAAAAGGCGATATAGAATGGTTTTAAAAATTAAGGCTTGTGAAAATCATCACATGGTTTTACCTAAGTAATGTCAATGCTTCACAAACCAAAAAATTAACGTCTTAATACTACTCTCGGCTTTTGGTCTTTCGTTTCAAGTTATATCTTTCTTGATTTTTTTACGCTACAGGTTTACTCTTGTGGTCCTCAGTCTCGATAAGGTGGAAGTCACCATTTTAGCGTCTCTCGAATTATTTATTTTAAAGATTTTCCTGTAAAATTTGCAATGCATAACACAACAACGCGACACGTCTCCACTTTAACAGAAAAACTAAACTGAACTAAGAACTAGCTGGCTTTCCTAATATTTATTTACCATTCTACCACCATTTTCGTAAATAAAATAGTACCTACGTAGTTAAAATGTAGGTAATAATGTAACTGTTGTTTCTTTATACTTTATAATATAATGTATTTTATAACATTTTAACGTCATATTATTTAAGGCAATATATAAATAAAAAAAAGATGCCAAATTGTCTATTAAGCTTTTTAGATGTCAAAATGTTAGTAAATTCTAATAGTATATTACATACATACTTATAAATGATGACGTCGAAATGATATTAAATATCCTTAAAAAATCATTACTTATATATATTTTTGTGCTATTAGTCTTTAAATAATTTCTTAAATCTTTCATTTAAATTATTATGTATACTGAGTTCAAATTGATTGTACATTTGGCATATGTGAATATATGCAAGACGTGTCGCCAAAATGATGGTAAGTAGGTAATAATTTAACTGTTGTTTCTTTATGCTTTATAATATAATGTATTTTATAACATTTTAACGTCATATTATTTAAGGCAATATATAAATAAAAAAGAAGCCAAATTGTCTATTAAGCTTTTTAGATGTCATAATGTTAGTAAATTCCAATAGTATATTACATGCATACTCATAAATGATGACGTCCAAATGATAGTAAATAACCTTAAAAAATCATTACTTATATATATTTTTGTGCTATTAATCTTAAAATAATTTCTTGAACTTTTCATTAAAATTATTATGTATATTGAGTTCAAATTGATTGTACATTTGGCATATGTGTATATATGCAAGACGTGACGCCAAAATGATGGTATTTATAATTTCTGAAAACTGGCAACGTTGCATGTTGCCAATATGTTTCCACATTGAACGATTTTTCGTACTGTTGCCAAAATTCACCTCAGAGTGAAATATACAAATATACATAAAGTATGTGATAGAAAAATTTCGACAACAGCTCCGGGCTCCAAAAAAATCGCTGAACTTATATACACGGTTAGTTTTTTGAAAAACCTACTCCTTCTAGGTGACGCCAGATTACTGTTTTATGAAAAGACGTCGAAATGATAGAATGATGTAAATATATATATATATATATATATATATATATATATATATATATATATATATATATATATATATAATCGTAATATTTAATGGTTTTGATTTTATCTCTATTGATTTGATAATCTAAGCGCCGAGCTTCTATTTATCTTAACAATTGCTATGTTCACCATCGTAAAACGTGTTTTAAGCATCATAATCGGTTGAGCTGCCCAGGTAGCACAAGTCTGTACCAGGGATATCCCGAGGATATCCGATGGGACATTAGTCTATATCCTCGGGATATACGGTTTCGGCTATGCGATATCCCTAGTACATCCTGAGGATATACAATGTTAAAAAACGGGACGTCCTCGGTATATACCAATACTTTATCCCCGGGATATCCCGTATACTTTATCATCGGGATATACACTGCACTACATCCATATGCTATTAAAAGGATACTTAAAGGGTACATAGATTAATATTTTATGAATAAAAAAGATGTTCATTTAAATTTTTATTTATTTTAAATATTTAAAAAAATCATGTTTTTAAATGGGAA